AGGTTTACTTTCTCGGTGGATTGCCTGATTTTGTGAGTTTTGAAAGTGGAACTATCATTGGGACAAGTGCTGGTGACCAAAAGGGGCCTAGGAAAATGACTCTTTTTCTCCAAAACTCGACCTCGCAAATATTGCAATTAGACTCCATTATTACTGGATCCCTTCCGAATTGGAAAAACTTCTTGTACCCTAAGTAGAGTCTTTGAAGTGCCACCTGATTACCTTACTTTGAATCAGACTATAGTACTGAAGGCTTTCCAGTCTACTCAGTAACACTGTTTGTTCTTCAATTTTTTCGGGTTCTATTCGCCTTTCTTCTCTCCTACACTGATCTTTGCAAAATTGTATTGTTAAGACCAAGCTTGTTTTGTAACATTACCATTCCCGATTCCTTTTCTTTGCAGTGGTTTGAAGATCTTCATAGGGCATACGTTGGGTTGAATGGTTTGGGAGAAGCTATACCAAAGAAAATACAGATGTCAGGACCACGCTGGAAAATACAGCATTGTCAAGGCCTTAGAATTTTTTGAAGGAACACAGAAAAACATTAATTATCGATTTTGACTGTAGAAAGAAGCATTGACAAATTGTGTTCCGGTGGATCAACATTCATGAATCATAACTCATGTTTCTTTACGTGCAATAGCAAAGAGTTTTGCGATGACACCACTAATGTCAGGAGAGAGAGAGAGAGAGAGAGAGAGAGAGAGAGAGAGAGAGAGAGAGGGGGGGGGAGACAGAGACTCTCCTAGGTAGAGAGAGGAGAGAACAGATAATATTATTATGTGGTATAGCAGATAGACGCTTCGCTTCCGCTTGCTGAATACCCGAATTCAATTCCCGAGTGGGGAGAAAATTTCTATCAAGTACCTCGGTCTTGGATTCCTTCCCACCCTCGTTGACCCTGACAGGCACGGTCGGAAGCCCGCCTCCTTAATGATTTAAATAGTGTCGGGGGGGGGGGGTGTAAAGCTTCTTCAATTACATTCTAAGAGAGAGGGAGAGAGACATACAGACAGACACAGAGAGCGTAGGGGGAAGAGGGCGAGAGAGAGAGAAGAGAGAGAGAGAGAGAGAGAGGGAGAGAAAGAGAGAGAGACGAGAGAAGAGAGAGAGAGAGAGAGAAAGAGAGAGAGAGAGAGAGAGAGAGAGAGAGAGAGAGAGAGAGAGAGGTTACCTTTTCGCACCGTGCGGCTTTCAGGGTGCGCATTCCCTAAGAACGCCATTATTTTATGTGCGCTATTCCCTGGAAAAGCCCTATTTTGGGGGTATTTTCAAAGAAATATATCTCAACGGTTTTAAAGCATAGATGTTTGTATTCGGTGTTAAAGTAACGTTCAATTCTTTGTCAACACAACCATAGTTTTTAGGACCACATTCACTTTCTTTGACTAAAGTTGTCAACTGTACAAAAGAGCGTATGGGGCTGAAAAAAGAAAAGTTTTCAAAACAAATTCTACACCCCGAGACCCCCACTGAACAGTTCAATGGTGTTTCTTCAATGATATTAACGCCTGCTCAGACAGGCGTGATCCATGATAAATATAATTCAACTGAAATCAATATAAAAAATTCAACCTAACGATTGAAAAAATGTGCTGTTGTGAGCAGCTTTATGAACAGCTCCATACTCAAGCATCGGGTGAGTCAGGTGCTTCTTTCAGTTCAGAGTTGAGTTGTACACCTCAAAGCAGCCAGGGTAGAGTGCAACTTTGCAGTTTGAGCCCCCGTGCTGACATCCCAGCTCTGCACGCATTGCCTGTGCACAATTTTTACTGCCACCTAAAGGGTCTTTTTCCGTGGCGTTGTTTTCAACCTACTGACACTCTTTGAGAACATGCCTCTTTCATAGTTAGGAATGTTACAAACTAATAGTGTCAGATTTACTGGACCACATGATCACATCCACCAGCTTGAATACCTGTTTCTTCCTTATTAAAATCCTACTGATTTAAGAAATCTGTCTTCTTTATCTAAAACAGTAAAGGCAGACAACAACATGCACACTGATAGATTATTATTCAAGTTCAAGTTCCTAATTTATGTATTGTGGTTTAAAACGTAAAACAATACAAAATGTACTGCCCATTGTGTACTGTGTAGAAGCGCGCTTATAATGAGATGTCCTATTGCAGTTACGAGAACTGTAAACCAATTACCAAAACAACAAAACATATTGTCTTCGCAGACATATCGTCCTGATAGATTTCATATCAACTTCATGTAGGCGTAGATTAAGCTACCAACATACTTGTCATAATAACCCCCCTTAATTGCTTCGACAAAAGGTTGCTAAGAAGGCTAAACTGCATTTATGAAGCAAATATTCCACTTTATCAGATTGCTTGTTCCCTGAATGTCTTGATCAGATCCACGTAAGTGAATAGCCAGAGTGACTCGACATCGAACCAATTTAAAAGTGAATGCACTGTGATATTGTGGATTCCCCGTCATAGCAGACAAGGGTCGAGGTATCCTTTAATTTGTATTATCTCCAGTGCACGGAGTCGCGAATGTCACTTCGCTAAACTTTAGATAACCTATGATCATTGTTTGCTAACTCCAGCCCGCGCTAGAAATTAAAGTAGTCGATTATATAACTAGAGCCTGACACGATCTTACGAGAGATCAGCTATTCGTCTGTCTGTCTGTCTGTCTGTCTGTCTGTCTGTCTGTCTGTCTGTCTGTCTGTC